CCGAGTATTTCACTGACATCTGCAGTAAGAACCGAATTGTATATTCAGGAATGTCAGCCCGCGCACTCTTCTTTCCCTATTACAAGGATGTTATTATGTAGCTGCTGCTCAGCCTGAAGACTGGATAAGGTCCAGCGAGAAGGAAGGAAAACAATGTCAAAGAGGGCCTTTTCCATAGGTTTACAGCATGGTGCCAATCAGAGAACTGGAGCTCTGTCAAACAGACAGAAGCCAGAGCAGAACCGCATCTGAAGAGCATTCTGCTTCAAAAACCACGCATAACTAAAGACTGCCACATATTAATCTGGCACTGTGCACATGGTTATCGCACATTATGATGTCTTCATAAAAAAAATTATAATTCTTATAATCCAGAAAAACAGTTTTGCTATTACTAGTGATTTGAAGTAGCACAAAATCTGGTCTTTCTTTCATTGTATCACATAATGTAGTTCATCCTAACTTTAAAAAAGTGTCATAAAAAGTGTGAAGCATAATATACACTTCAGATAAAATACTGGGTATGACCAAATCACTCATTATGATTCATAAAGCAAGCTTAACTTTAAATTTTAGGATAATGAAGAAAGACATGAAAACCAAGAGAGAGTGTAGAGGGAGGCATCACCATCATCATCTAGTTATATAACAAACAGACCATGATCAACTATTATGAGGATAAGCAAACAACAAATAAAGTCATTAAAAAAAAAGGGTCCAGTAAGTTAACAAACAATTCCAGCAAAGCCTGATTCCCTCATTTAAATGTCAATGCTGACCTCCAGTGGCACACTGAATTCACCCTCTATTAAAAGAAACTGCTTAGACCTTTTAGAATTAATAGGAAAGTCTTTATGTATGAGTACAACACAATCAGAGCTTTAAACAAACAACTTTCACAAACAAAAACATCACTGAATGTCCCAAAGCACTGCATACTAATGGAGACGGGCTTAATATGAAAAAAAAGAGTTTAAAATCTACACAGAGACTGTTTTAAAATCTATACTCAACAGTCTTTTACATTATGAACGGGAAAGAACAACACAATTACACACAAAGCAACTGATCTATTCAGAATAAATACACAACCTAAAATCAGTATAATTGTAATAATTGATAATAAAAATGCTGAAAATCTTCCAAAAAGGTGTGTTAGTGGGTGTTGATAAACTGTGCAGAGTCATTTGATGTTTAGCAGTGTAATACATTTGCTCATAGCCACAACTTTGGCAATCATCCCCATGGATTGTATTTACAAGCCTTTGAGTTATGAGATCTTTAAAACCTGTTACTCCAGTCTTCAGTGTCAAATGATCCTTCAAAAATCACACTCGGTGCTCAGTTGAAAACAGATTTATTTTTGCAGAAATTGTGATAGATTGTTTTCAGGATACATTTATGAATAGAAAGCTCAAAAGAACAGCATTTATTTGAAATCTTTTGCAACATTATAAGTGTCTGCTGTCACTTTTGATTAATTTAATACATCCTTGATCAATAACCTATTATTTCTTTCCCAAAAAAATTTTAAAAATCATACTGGCCCCAACCTATTTCTTTCCAAAAAAAAATAAAAAATCATACTGGCCCCAACCTTTTGAATGGCAGTGTATCTGCAGAAATAATCAGATTCACATGTCATCATCTTTTCAGATGGTTAGATGCCAGCTATATAAACAAAGAAACTAAAGTCCAAAATTTGTGACAATGTAGGGCTGTCGCATGATACAACATTGTATAAAGTAATCAAATGTAAAAAAAAAAAAAGCATATTCTTCACTGTGTAAATTAAATATATATCTTCTTATTAAAGTTAAAAGTGATTTAGCTGTCACTTTAAGAGCTGCCCAGATCCAATACACTGTTACACATGTGTTTTCTTTCTCAGCTGTTTGGTTTCACTTAAGACCTAAGTTACTGTGATCATGAGGATACTTGCAAAGACGGGCATTTTGACATACAAGTGTGTGTATTTAACCATTCAAGGCCTATAAAGCGACAAAATGCTGCTGATTGCATTTCAAAGGCTTAAATTGTGTCAACGATAAGTTTTCATGACCAGGTAGCACAACGTCACTTGAGCGTGTAACCGCGATAGACAGGATAGTCCAAAATCTCTATATCGCCTACCCCTAACTGGAGTACTTCATTTTGTTGTCCATACGGGTATTTGATGAGCTGTCATTAGAAGACTGATGATCGAAGTGCAGATTTTTTCATTATATATATTTTTTTTATATTATTTATTTATCATATATTTTTCTATATTATTTAAAAAAAAACACAAAAAAACCTTTCAGATATATATTTTTTTATTGTTGTTGTTGTGAATGTCCCTCTTGGGGACACAAGATTTTCAATTTTCAGAGAGTTCAATTAAATGTTCATGTTATCTTTTTGCAGCATTTGTGAGTTAAAAATGTAACTGGTTGTGTCGTGGCCTAATGGTTAGAGAGTCAGACTTGGACTTTTCATTCCCATAGAATGAAAAAAAAAATTCTATGGAAATCAATATGGACCAGCAACTGATCAGTCACACTCATTCTTCAAAATATATTCTTATGTGTTCAGCAGAAGAAAGAAATTCATACAGGTTTGGAACAACTTGAGGGTGAGTAAATGAAGACCAAATTATAATTTTGTTGTATCCCTTTAATTTTAACAGATATAACAATTTAAAAAAAAAAAGTCTAAATATAGTTTCGGAAAAAGACTGCAGTTTTATGACATCATTAAAAGCATATGGCTACATAATATGCATGTGTCATGCATCACATGACGTGAGCAAAGACCAGCTGACTAAAGGGTTGGGGCCATCTAGAGACTCAAGGCCTGCAGATTTACATTTACATTTAGTCATTTTGCAGATGCTTTTATCCAAAGCGACTTACAATTGGGGAATACATAAAGCGATTCATCTTAATGAGGCAAACAGTCACAGGAAGGTCTCACAATACCAAGTTTCAGGCATTGTTTAAATCAGTACAAGCTAGAAAGGGAAGGAATAAATAAAGAGAAAGACAAATTGTTTTTGTTTTTTTTATTTAGGATGGTCCCTGATGCAGATGGTCCCTAGGGGCCCCTGAGAGTCCAGGCTGACCACCTTCCTGTGACGTAAAAGGTCACAATTCATCTCAGTCTATGTCACACTTTAAAAGTCTGTTCGGAAGTATTATAGTATTGCTAGAAATAGATGTACCACATGCAAAGTCTGACACACCTATATGATAATTCAAAGTACCAAAGTCCTTCAAAAGCCCTACTCCTTTACAACACCGATACCTTCCCAATGCAGACTGAAAAGATTGTGTCGAAATGCTGACAACAACTTCTGTGTAAAATACTTTCTGAAATGTACTGTAAACAAGGTTGTGGACATTTCAGTTCACATCCTATCACAACACACCTCAAGATGGGCGGACAAGGAACTTGTTTTTCAGCATTGCTGCCTTACATTACATGATTCAGCATATATCTGATCACTCTTACACCTGCCACAAAGAAACAAACTGAATATCATCCCTAATGAATGACAACATCTCAACTACAGATCCCAAAACAGCAGTAAATCTAGCACACGAAAGTCTGATGTGTGAAAGTGATGTACTCGCGATGCAAGTTTAAGCCAAAACATCTCAAAACAAAGCAACCCGTTAGCCAATCCTGCTAACTTGGATTTATTGATAAACTATTGAATCACAACAGCGTGTGTGGAGAGCTATTAAACTGGGAATCTAGCTGTACATACGTACTTATAAATATTCTATGAACTAACGTTAGGCTGTTAAAATAGCAAATACATGATCATAACAGCAGTTGCTAGCTAGCTTAGCAAAGTAACTGAAACTAACTTCCACAACAGACTGGTTTAAATACAACATTTCTCACCACTGCATGTACAAATACTGAGTAATTAAAACCATTTAAGTCGAATTATACTGGGATAATCTTAAAAAAAAAAAAAAAAGACACGTTTATTAAACCAGTGAGAGTGGAGGGGCTGCTATGTGACAAGCCAACAAAACAAAGCGGTAATTTTACAGACTTACAGTAATAAGCGACCACCGGTTCTCTTTTGTCGTGTTCCTGCGCTGTTCTTAAATGGTGCTGGATTGGTTTCAGCTGCGGTCACAAAACAATGTTCTTTTTAGCAGCATCATATGACCCCTTTAATTCCTGTTATCCAACAGATTCTTTTTTTAATTGCATTCCCCTTATAATATGTGTAAATATTACTGATATGGAAAGGTGTAAACAAAAAAAGAATGATGCGACTATTTTAACTATTTTTACTTGATTGAAACTTCAAAAACATTAGGAAATCATTGTATCTGACAGAATGCCAAGGATTCACAAGTAGATCTGTTTATTCTGACCTAGACTGATAATACATTATGGCAGTCATAAATTATTATATATATATATATATATATATATATATGAAGATTTTCATGCATAATTTTCATCATAAATCCCACAGACAAAAACCAATATAAATGATCAACTCTCTACACATAGTACAAAAGCTATTACTCAAACAGCTGTGGTGTTGAAACAGTGGGAAGGCAACTGTGGGAAGATGTGCAGGCCAGACATGCTGTCAGATCTCCTCGGATGTTTCATTTATGCATAAATAGTATTCTTATAATAAATAGTTACCCGCTGACACAAAATAAGAGATCACAGTATGCCATTTTGTACCTGAGATGAAACACTTAGCTGAGAATAATAACAAAAGTTGGATGGATGCCTGATAAAAATGTACAGATACAGATACTACAACCACACAAGATAATTCTCAAATGGACATAAAACTAGATGGAAATCAACAGCTGATGAATGTACTATCAATGTGCATGATTGTAACTAGATACCATGGACCGCTCAATAATGTTTTTAAAAACTGATGCACTGTTGCATGTAATTATTCTTCCTTAAGAAGAATCAATCTTTGTTGAAATTTAAATCAAATAATATTTGTCAAAATAGTACTTGCATTTTGTGTAATATTTCAATATAAGTATAAATCTAAATCTGAAAATAATATTGCAGAGATAATAATGATCAACCAAATATTTATGTGGGTTTAGGTTAGCTCATACAAGTCAATGAAATAATTTCTCCTGCTAGAGAGGTGCTTTTTTAGGCTTAAAAAATCTAAAAAGCTAAAAAGATTAATGAGTCCCTTGCCATTAATTAGGCTTGTTTTGTTTTGATTATTCCAGAAAAGGAATAATAAGCTGTCTTGTTTTAAAAAAGCATGTATTTCTGTGTCTACCACCAGAAAATGCAGAGGTATGTAGGTTTATGTCCTGTCTGTGATTCAGAGACCCACAGAAAACATAAAACAAACACTGCTAAAGTATCACTCAAAACACTTTCTAAATTCTCAGGTCACTGGCTGGTTTAAATAACCAAGTCTTCGGAACAGAATCTCAAAAATCTCAGCGATACAGAGGAGTATGGTGATGATGGTGAAGGTGTACATTGCACTGAGGAAGATAGTCTTCTCAAAGTGTTCAGGGACCATACACTTCGAGATGTTGAAGATCTTTGCAAGGGCACTGACATCGCACATATAAATAGGATCAACCAGGAACCCAAAAAGGTGGCTCTGAAGCCAAAATGCTAAAACTTCCAGAATTATTCTCAACAGGACAGAGATGATGTAGAAGACTGTGGACATTGGCCGCTGAAGGATCTCATCCTGGTCTATATTTTTACAGGCAGCATAAAGATGAAACACAGCTCCAGGCACCAAGACAGTGACTAGCTGCAACGCCCAGAATACCTACAACAACAACAACAAAAAAAACAGCTTTTTTTTTTTCTTTTTCTGTCTTTAGGTTTGTTTTTGTTTTTTCACTTTTGTCATTTTGCCCAGTAGTATGGTTTTTATTCAAGTTTCCACCAAAGAATTACAAGAGATTATAGGCCATAACACATCTTCGCAATCAGCTTGTCATACTCACATAGTAGAAAACTTGAACAAATAGTT